TAGACTAAGTTTCATATGGGATGGGATCATAACTGTCAAGTTCACTGTTACATACTGCTAGAATACCGAAATACAGAAAAAAATTGTTCTTGAACTACTGATGTTACTAAGACTATAGATTAAAATTTATGTTAGCTGGGGTTGTAGTAAAAAGATGATGGACAGAACAGAATCATTTTCAGGTCACGACTCTGAAATTTATGAGAAATGTGGTTTAGGTTCATTAGAAGCTCCGAGTTTCCTCACCTAATAATGGGGATAATAATAATACTCAGTTCACAGTTGTTGAAAATATTTTTAAAATAATAGAGGTGGGGGCTTCCCTGGTGGCGCAGTGGTTGAGAGTCCGCCTGCCGATGCAGGGGACACGGGTTCGTGCCCCAGTCTGGGAAGATCCCACATGCTGTGGAGCAGCTGGGCCCATGAGCCATGGCTGCTGGGCCTGCACGTCCGGAGCCTGTGCTCCGCAACGGGAGAGGCCACAACAGTGAGAGGCCCGCGTACCGCAAAAAATAATAATAATAATAATAGAAGTGGAGTGTGATCAACAGACTATATACTGAATAAATGTATTTTTTTCGTCCTTCACAATTTAAAATCTTGCAAATTTGCCTTCTGTTCTGATATATTTGTCCTGTAAAAAAAGTTTTTAAACAGAAAAGTATATGGTATTTTACATTTTCCAAAATCCACAGAGAAAATTTGACTTTTCCTGAGTTACATCCTTTTATAAAAAACCAGTCATCTGGTAAGTACTGGAAGAAGTAACTATATTACTCAAGTATAAAGTAAAATGAATAGTCTTTAAGTGATCTGAAACTTTAAAAAAATGAATAGAGTACCTAAATTAACAGTCAAGCTCTCCTCTCATAAACTGTTCTTTGTTTGCATGTGTTTGATCAAGAATCCTGTTATCAGAAACCTTATGACAAGTTAGTTTCAATCACAGAAAGATTTACTCTCCTTGCAAAAATCTGTTTCTAATATTCTGGCATGCTATACCAAATTCTGATCAAAAAGCCACAATTACTTGATTTAAAAGCTGGCAGGCAAGTCATTTGTCTAAGGTTCAACTTAGTAACTCACTCCTAACTTGCCTGAATTTAATCATGAACTTTAACTTCCACTGAGGAGGAAAAAAAATTTTTAAACAGCTAAATCTGAAGAAATATTAAACTTAACAAAGACAAACTTTCAAGGCACCATTTAAATGTTAAAGTTGAACTAGATGTCTTCCTTACCTATATCATACAAAGTCCTATATTTTACCTAAAATCCCAGCTCTGTCACCTGATATTACTGTTTAATAATTTACCTTTTACAGAGACCTATATTGCTATGTTAAAGACTTTTTCAATTTGACATTTTATGGAATCAAAGACTCTTCTTTTCCCTTAAACCCACATCCATGTTCCTTAAAATAAACATTTTTTTCTCTAAAGTCTCTAAAATCTAGACTCTACAATCTAGACAGATAATGGTTAAGAACATGGGCTCGAATCCCAGCTCTGCCTCTTAAGAGTTGTGTTATCTTGTGCAAGTCATTTACCATTTAAGCTTCAGTTCCTGATTTATAATTGAATGGGGTTAATAACAATACTTACTTCATAGGGATATATACAGTTAATGCATATAAAAAGCTTAGAAGTACCTGGCTTCTAGGAATTGGTCAGTAAATTAAATTCTTCAAAAAATATTTACTGAACACCTACTAGGAGCTAGCACTGTTCTAGGTACTGCAGATATAGTTGCACTGATTATTAAATGTAATTCTAGCCATTATGGAACTTACATTTCTCTTGGGGGAGACAGACAACTAAAAATACATCATACAATATAATGTCAGGTAAACATAACCATAACAAAGAGAAATTAAGAAGAGGGGAACATAAGGAGGTAAGGTGTTATTTCACACATGGTAGTCAGAAAAGGCCTCTCTGATGAAATGACATTTGAACAGAGACTAAACTAAATAAAGAACAGGCCCTGTGCATCCCAAACTGTTTCCTAATTATAAAGATGATGATTATGAGTGATAAAAAACCCTTGTACAACATGACCTTCACTCCCATATCTTTACACAGTCTTTGGGAGGTAGTATAGGAGAAATCAGCCAGTGGAGGGTGGGCATGAGTGGGTAGGGCACTCATTAGCTTTATTATCATGAGAAAGTTAAATACTTTCTCTAATTTAGATTGCCTAGTTTCCTGTACCTCTGGAGGTAAGAAAGAGACTACCTTGGCCACTGTGTGCTCTAGTTAGGCATATGATGTTATACATACATTCTCATGGGTAAGAGAGAAATAAATGGAAAGAGAGAAGTAAGTTACTATAAACAGAAATTATATTGACACCAAAATAGCATTCATGTAGGCTAAAATTGAAGTCTGGCAAGATGGAAATTAGATGTTTTACAGCACATTATATGGTCAAAGACATTAACTTCTTACACAAATTAAATCAAGAAGGAGATTCCAGTTATAAGAGTACAAATACTTCCCAAAGGAAGATACATAACAGATAATACCACCATAAAAAAATCCGTATCAATTTGTTCTCCACTCATAATTGAAAACTATCTACTTTCATAACCTCTGCTTTGTGATTTTCTTTTAAAAGAGTGATATGATTCTTTAAATCAAATGCATAACAATATTTACCACACACTGAGATAGTTACTTGCATATTTCAAATATCAGTACTTTAGATCAGGTTAATAGCTAGATTAACTTTGAATTTCTACCTCATAAAACAATCATATGTAGCCCCTTAATCTTCTATAGCTTTCAGTTTAGTTATTTTCATAGATAGTGCTATAAAATGATGGGATATTCAGCTCCACAGCCAGTGCTGGGGGTTTGGGAGAAAGAGAATAATTGGCTATGTAACAGTCCAGAGAATCTACTCCATTTATCTAAGCTCATTTCATGGACAATTTTATATTATGAGGGATATAGCTTTATTTGCAATTATATGCTCCTACCCAAGCCCAGATGAGCATTTTTATGTGCCTCTTTTATGGCTTTGATCTCTCAGTTTAGACCTGGCTAAGCAAGGAGACAATGTAAATATTAGGTTGGCTTGTGAAATGAGACGTCACTATCTCTGAAAACTCAGGTGTATCTCATTAACCTAACGCGGTAAAAAGTATCTTCACTGCAGTGAACTTTACTTCATATTGGGATATACTGGAATTGAGTTCAAACTTTCCCATGTACAATTAAGTATACAAAACTCCTGTCACTTAAAGTGCTGGAGGAAGGGCAGTGGTGAAGAGATGTCAAAGGACCACCAGATTTATGGTTTGAGCAGCTGGGTATTTGGTGGTACCACTTATTAAAAAGGAAGAACAAATTTTGTACTTAAAAGTGATAAACTCAGTTTTAGGTGAAAAGTAGAAAATTTTTAGATGTGGGAAAGATATATATCTGAGCTGGAAATATAAATTTGCAAGTCACTGATGTATTAATAGCAAATGAAGCCAAGAGAATAGATGACCTTGACTAAAAAAACAAACTCTTAGAATTCTGTAAAACAACAGCAGTTATTCGTTGATGAAAGAGAAAACATTAATAGACCTTTTTTTTTTTTTACTAGAGATAAAATATGACAACCTGTTCCAGACTAAAGGAGAATATTTATAGGGTTTTTTTGCAATTAAACGTAAAAAAAAGTGACTGGAAAAATATGAACAAAGAATGAGCCCATCTCATAATTCTAGAAAATTATGCAAGAAAGACAATTACTTAGCCACAGAATTAACATTTAGCAACTGACTGTTAAAATCTTCTGTGAGCAGAATGCTAAAACTCAGCCCCTCAATAAAGACTGAGTAATATAATACAAGTACAAATACAGACACTATGTTCCAGACTAACAAAGGGAAATATAACAATTGTTTTTTTTTTTTTTTTTTTTTTTTTTTTTTGCGGTACGCGGGCCTCTCACTGTTGTGGCCTCTCCCGTTGCGGAGCACAGGCTCCGGATGCACAGGCTCAGCGGCCACGGCTCACGGGCCCAGCAGCTCCGCGGCACGTGGGATCTTCCCAGACCGGGGCACGAACCCGCGTCCCCTGCATAGGCAGGCGGACTCTCAACCACTGCGCCACCAGGGAAGCCCAACAATTGTTTTTTAAGTTTTAAATTTTAAAAGTTTTTTAAATTTTAGGTGAATTTGGATTATATACTAGCATTCTTGGGAATAACACTTGCTTCATATTAAAAGTCATCCCTAGATATGTAAACCTCAAATCGGCAAATATTAACCTACCAGGTTTTATGACTTTCCTATTTCTACACTGTTCTTCACATGAGACGGTCCCCAAAGGAAAGGGACTTTTGTTGACCCCAACCCAATTCCTGGAACATTAAAAATACTCAGAAGTTAAGCCAGCTCCATTGTTCCTCCCAGGCCAGGCCCCACAGGTTTTACCTTACAAACACAAACCTGCCTCATACCCATTCCCTACCTCGCAAATCTCTTAAAGCTCATGAAAGCAATCTGTTCTGTGATATATCTTAGAGGTAAAAATGACCTAGAACAATCTCTTGCCCAGCTACCTGGTTGTACATAGCGAAGTTATAATTTACTGCCTTTGTGAAGAGTAGTGTAGTTTTAAAAAATTCCAGTGTCTTATAATATATTGTAACCTTAACACCCAAAATTAAAATTCGAATTTACTCTTAATTGCTGGACATTTTCTTTGACTTCTGCATCTCAGAATCTTTTATAAACTGAGCCTTTAAAGTCTGAACTTATAGTGTGAAGGAAGGCCTCCAGTCTTTCAAGAAAAACTGGGAAGGAAAAAGAAAAAAAACAGGCCATTTGCAAACACTGAATAAAAAGGTAACCCATCTCCCATCTTAATAAAACCAAGGAAATTCCATGTTTTGACTATAATTGTTTCCAAACTTCTATAAATAATCTAAGAACTTTATTTACTGTGGGGAATAACTCATAAAACAGTCTCAAAAAAAAAAAGGTGAATATATGCACCTACCTTAGGAATAGGATTCAGCAGAACTGCACCTGATTTCTTAGTGATGACCTGTTTGGTTGTATAGTGATGGTCTATAAGTTGAGGGATATTTGAAAACCCAGTGCCTTCAAAACGATACATGTTCTGGAGAAAGGACAATAAAGTAGAATAAATATGAAGACATTGCTTCGGCAACATTACGTTCATCAATAAAGTTCCATTTAAGAAAAACTATTATTACACAACAATGTGAAGATACTGAACACTACTGAACTATTATACACTTAAAAATGGTTATGATGGTAAAAATAAAAATAAACAAAATTCCAACATGCTAAAAAAATTTACCTTTGCATCAAGAAATTAATTTTCATAATGACTAAATATAATTCAGATGGTTAAAAAATAAAAAAGAAGAAAAAGAAAAACTTACAGACCTGGAATGCATTTTGCTAAAATAATAACCAAAAGAAATAAAGCACGGGATACGTTTAAGTTAAGGAACAAGAAATATGTGTATATATGTTTGCTTATATGTTCCATTTGATAAAATTTTCAAGATAAAAAATGTCAAAAGGTTGAGGAAATATATCCAATATAATAATAAGTATTTTAAGAATACCTCTGATGATCATTTATTTCCCTTTTATCAATACAGTATTGATTGGTTTTTCTCCACTGGGGTTATTCATGTATTATTCTTTCACCAAAACCACACAGTCATTCACATTCACTTACATTTGATAAAGAAATAAAATGCAGCAGACACAAAACTGCATATATCAGCATAGTCAAATCATAGCACTTTTGATTTCAAAACATCAAGTTAGTAACATTTTGCCAAACTCTGTCAAGACCCCTTTTCTCTGTCTTCATATTTCAAACAGGCATGTAGGTGAGTAATCATAGGGATGAATTGATGGCAATAAGTTTAGCAAAGAAAAAATATCTTATTGGGCCTATTTTTCAATGCAAAAAGTGTTACAATACAGTGTGATGTAATAACAGCTTCCATTTGATTGTTCACAAAGAATTCACCTGTATGTATACGGGTGATGTGTACAAATACAGATACAAATGTGCTCCATTTTAAGAAAGCTCTATGCTAAGAAATAAGAAATTTCAAAACTCTCTAAATTTGGATACTATTTACATTACTGGAAGATTATTTTCCCAGTTAAAGGATAAAAAACGCAAAGTTCCTTTTCCATAATATAAAATTAGATTCAATTTACCAGAATCTAATTTATATACAACTTTTTAAATGAATATTTTCGTTTCATCAAGTGAGGAACAAACATGCGTTAGCTTATTTTAACACTTAACTATATAGTTCAACTCAAGGCAGTTTGTGTTAGGGTCAATTCAAGGCAGTTGTTAATAAACTGACTAAAGAATTGTTGCATACAACAGCCAGGCCTGCTATGATATATTAGTAAAGATAATTAAGAATATTTCACACTAAGGACAGTAGTCTATTACTAGATGTGCAATGCACTGAGCAATTTCTCTCAATGCCTCAGTTTATTTCAAAATAGAAATAATATTTGGACGTCCTCACAGAAAAAGTGTGAGGCCTGAACAAGTATTAACATGCAAACCACTGCTTAGTATACAGTACATGGTACACACTCAATTATTAAGTCATCATACAAATAATAAACCTTGGATTACAAAAATAATTCCAAATCTGGATATATGATAAGAAACATTTTCAAAGGACATTTAAAAGTGTAAATTACATGTTCTCAAGGAATAATGATTATCTGTAAATAACCAAATATCCTAGAAGGCATTCTTATATGAAAATAAGACATGAAGAAAGGTAAAATGTTATAGATGTGTAACATGTAATAATAACAGTAATATCTGAAGCAAATATATGGTCTTGTATACTTGAAAGTTCCTGAGAGTAGATATTAAGCATTCCCACACACACACACAAAAAGAGTTAATTACGTAGGATGATGGTTGTGTTAATTACCTTGATCTTGGCAATCATTCTACTATGTGTACCAAATCATCATGTTGTACACTTTACATATATACAATTATATTTGCTTATTATTCCTCAATGAAGTATGTGTGTGTGTGTGTATGTGTGTGTGTGTGTGTGTATACACACACACACACATACACACACACACACACTGTTTCTCCCTTTATCTTTCTTCAGTCTCTTAATAAAGAGCCAGGAAATCCTGTTATAACAGACTATTCCATTATTTCGCACAAAATTTTTACCTCCCTCAGAATAAAAGCCTAAGTCTTTACCATGGTCTTTAGGGCCCTCTAATCTGTCCTCTATCATCTCTCTCACCTCATCTCTTACCAAATCCCCCATCCCCGCTCAGTCCCCTCCAGCCACACTCATTTTCTTCTTGTTTTATAAACACACTACACACATTCCCTCCTCAGGGAGTTTACACTTGCTGCTTGAAATAGTTCCTTGGATGGCCGTTTGGGTAATGGCTCCTATACTTCCTTCTAGTCATTCATCAAATGTCACCTTTTCAGTGAGGTCTACTCAGGCCATCCAATATCCATTTTCTCACCCCAGCTAAACTTCTTACCTCCTTTTCCTTACTAAATTTTTCTCCTTAGAATTTATCACTATCTAACATCACATATATTTCACTTAATTATCTTGTTTATTGCCTATCTCCTCCTCTAGAATATAAGCTCATGAGATGATAAATTTTTATCTTTGTTTTGTTCATCAGAGTATCCCTCTGGTCAAGAACAGTGCCTGGCATATATTACCTGGATAAATAAAAGTGTGTGAAATAAATGAAATGCAATGCATATAAAATGACTATAAAGTTAAAGTAAGACAACTTAACATAGAAATGAATACTGGAAAGTTCATACACTCACACAAACTCAAGATGCCCCTGTAGAATGTTTAATAAAAAGTAAGTAATGAGATGAAGTTCACACAGAATGAAATTTTAAAATCAGCCACTAGTGTCATAAAGCCTTATATAAATTTCTAATATACCTCTTATAACTAGAGAAATAGAGAATAAAATAATAGGAATTTTCAGTTTCCCTTAAGAACATATCTAGTTTTTAATCTAAAGGTAGTTTTCTGCCATTGATGCAGTAATCATGATGAACTAATACAGTGAGTAATACAAGCAGCAGTACTTCCTTCATGGGCTAAAATGAGAAACTGATTCCTAGCAAGTATTTGTTTAAAACAATTCCTCTGACATCAGTGAGGTTCTGAGTCCTAACACAGTGCAAAACCAATTAACTCACTTCCTTAAAGATGAAGATAATGTAATGAATCTAAAAATGATGCTATGGCTGTTTGCTTATAAAGTTCACCTAAGCAACTAAGGTCAGGAATAATACATTCACGGAACCCTCATGCACTGCTGATGGGAATGTAAACTGGTGCAGCCACCGTGGAAAAAAGTTTGGAGTTTCCTCAAAAAACTAAAAAGAGAACTACCATATGATGCAGCAATTCAACTTCTTGGTATTTTTCTGAAGAAAATAAAAACAGTAATTAGAAAAGATACATGTACCCCTATGTTTACTACAGCATTATTTACAATAACCAAGGTATGGAAGAGACCTAAGTGTCCATCAATAGATGAATGGATAAAGAAGAATGCATAAAAATCAAGATACACACACACACAATGCAATATTACTCAGCCATAAAAAAGAATGAAACCTTGCCATTTGCAACAACATGGACGGACTTAGAGGGTATCATGCTAAGTGAAATAAGTCAGAGAAAGATAAATATTATATGTGGAATCTAAAAAACAAAACAAACAAGCATAACAAAATAGAAACAGACTCATAGATACAGGAAAGAAATTGGTGGTTGCCAGAGGGGAAGAGGGTAGAGGGATGAAAGAAATAGGTAAAGGAGATTAAGAGGTACATATTTCAAGCTAAACAACAAATAAGTCATGAGAATGTATTGTACAGGATAGGGAATATAGTCAATAATATTGTAATAACTTTGTATAGTGACAGATGGTAAAGACTTGTGATCATTTTGTAGTGTACACAAATATCAAATTACTATGATGTACACCTGGAACAAATATAATATTAGAAGTCAACTGTACTACAATTAAAAATTAAAAAAGAGGGCTTCCCTGGTGGCGCAGTGGTTGAGAGTCCGCCTGCCGATGCAGGGGACACGGGTTCGTGCCCTGGTCCGGGAAGATCCCACATGCCGCGGAGCGGCTGGGCCCGTGAGCCATGGCCGCTGAGCCTGCGCGTCCGGAGCCTGTGATCCGCAACGGGAGAGGCCACAGCAGTGAGAGGCCCGCGTACCACAAAAAAAAAAAAAAAAAAAAAAAAAAAAAAAAAAAAAAAAGAATACATTCACCAAAAATGTTGAGGACTTGTTTCTTGATACATTCAAAATTCTGAATATTACATTTGACTTTGTACAAATCTGTGTAAATTTCTTACAGTTCAGATGACCTGAGGTTGGGTTCACATATAGAGAATTCTTTTTAAAGTTTTTCTACATAGCTTTACTAATAATGTGACAGAGAGAATCCACATTAACTTTCAAATAAGAGATTTCTCTTTGGAGGTACTAATGATCTCTTATGTGAATTCCAAAAGAAGCAATAAAAAATAGTAGTAAAAAATAAATTTCTACAAATTTCTACAAAGATCATTTTGTTGATAGTCATTTGTATTACATTTTAAAAAACCATGTAATATATCATTAAAAAATAATAAGTATAAATAAAAAATGTTATGAATCAATCTTTGTAAAATAAGAATTACATAGTTGCACATAATTAAAATATATTTTTAAGATCTCAAAGAATATACAGTGAGCCCGTAAGGAGGTATTAACTGTGAAGCACATGTTCTGTGATACATATTTCTGAATTTTTACTAAGAGTATGCATTATTTTTGTTTTTAAAACATTCACTATATCTAGAATTCATTCCTGATTTATCACTGTGCTACTTAAGAATCAATCATGCATACAGATTAAAAAAATAAAAAGAAGAATCAGATTTTGTTGCTACACATATTTCCAGAGGACTATTATTATGCAAGGAAGTCAGACAGAACAGAATAAGCACACAAAAATGAGAAGGGGATTCAATGAATGTGTAATTTGAAATATTATGCCTGAGTAGATCTCCTGAAAAACCATCAAGGATAAGCACGCATAAGAAAAAAATAAAAAGGAAAGAGGGAAAATCATTTCTGAAAGAGGCCAAGATGAATAAGCTGAATAAAAACAAAAGGCTAGAACACTCCTTTTTTGGGTAATACCCAACAATAAAAATGTAAAACATAAATTTTAGCTTTCTCAAATAAAAAAAGCACATTGACTAGTTATATTACTAGTTAAACCAGTAAACAGGAAGGATTGTTGGGGAATCTGAGGAATAAAATTAATAAGATTTTGGTAAGGCTTTTCCTAGTTAACTTTCATTCATTCTTCAGATGTTGTCTCAAACGTAAGTTTTCCAGTTAAAAGTGTTCATAGCACTGTGTATCTTTACAGCACTTAATAGATTTTATAATTACATATACTGCGTGTGATTTACGAATGACCGTGAGCCTCCCCACTAGACTGTAAGCTCCACCATTATATCTCTGGGTCTTAAAAGTACTCACTCAATTATTATTTCCTGGAAACTAATTAATAAGGATTTGGAATGGCTTTGCTTTATTGTTAAGAAGGAAGTCTCCTAGGTCCCTAATTGTGTGTCTGGGGCACAGAAAATGATATCTTATGCTGATTTCATTTTGACTTCAAGGAACGTATTGTCTTCTCTTGAATCTTTGAATGGCTGGAGTAAAATAATCTTAAGTGTACAAGGATAAGAACACAAACTTGGAATTGTCATACAAACAAGTTTTGGGTCTGTATATACTTTCACCTAGCCTTTCTTAAGATCCACAGTATGAATTTAAAAGGTAGTTCAAAGGGCCTAGAGATTGTGGCAAAAAAACCAAAGTAAACCTGTCTGGTACATTCAGAGACTACATCCATCACTTTAAAGTGAAACTCAGCACATGATACACATCCAATAGATATCTGTTGAATGAACTGATGATACAATACACTGAGCTACCCAATTTCACATAGTAACTACTCACAGCCTCCACTTCTGTGCTATTTTTGTTTTATTGGCCCGTATCCCTGGACTCTATAGAATACTTGCTCAATTAGTATTTTTTGATTGAAATGAATGAAGAAATAAAAAAGGATGATATGCCATTGCATAGAGGATGTTCCCCCAGGTTTTATTTTAAAATATTAACATCACCAGATGTTAATTCAAATGTTTGGCTCAATTATCCTTAAATCTTCATCTTTAATGTTTCTCCGTTCATGAATTCTACTAATGTCTCACCTAGCAGGTCTTAAGCTCACCGAGCAGTAGGCCATACATATTCAGTTTCACCTCCCTATACTGCATAACATGATACTCTGCCAAAATGTGTTTTTAGCAAATATGTGTCAGATAAGTAAGATTAGAGAAATATGAATTGGTATTTTCCTATTAATAATAGCACAAAAAGTTTTTTTCTGAAGTACTTTGTTTTATCACTTCTTTTTGTTTATCTTATACAAAAGCAAGGATTTGATTATATATTAACATCAAATGAAACAATGCTATTTGAATCTCTATGAAAATCTGTCAATATTTATGACAAAAGATAAACAGTTTTAGGTACAAACTCTAACTGTGGCTTTACATCAAGCACCATAAACAGGTTAGTAACTATGGAATAAGTCAGTAAATAACACTAGAATTACACTGAGATTCAGATACTTAGCTATGCTTAATATATCTGACTTTATGAAATTAATGTAATTAGTGTCCAATAAAAAGTACAGTTCTCCTTGCTTGAACTAGCTAAAACACCAGATATTCTCTGCTAGAGTAGTAAAAAATGTAAAAATCTAAAGTATCTGCATCCATCTTGATCAGTCATAATGTTCACAGCATGCAGAGTTTCACATCAGGTTAAAAAAATAACTGTGATATGCATACAAAAAATAAAGTTTCAAAACAACTGCCAAACTAGACTCTAGCTGACAGAGATAATGTTGCTAAAAATAACGTTATTTGTGATCAATGAATACCTCAAACTTAAATATATAAATTCTAAAACAATACTTTCATTACTATTTAAATTTCACAAATAAATCTCAATAGGAATCAAAAAGAAAATTTTTAAGTTAACTTCTCCAATTACACTGATATTTCATACAAAGTACATTTGTATGTTTTTCCAAATAAAGTGTTCAAACAATGGTATAAATGCCTAATGATTTGCATAGCACTTCACACATTACAAAGAATATATTCACTGTTTGACTCTCACAATCAGTGTATCAGCTATTACCCCCAATTACTTCTTAAACCAGAGCTTGTAAAGTACAGATCTGGGCCTGAAACTCAAGTTTTCATTGACTATTATGTGACTCTTTTTCCACAAAATCCTATATTTCTTTATGTCTTCCTCACTTAGGACACCTGACCCCACATTTATGTACAGCTTTTATAATCTACTAATGGATTATAAATTCATTGATTGGAATAAAATAGGCAATCATTAAATATCTGGTAATGACTTCCCCCATTTATAAACCCCTTCCAGACAACAGGTATATGAGGAAGGAAATGGGATAATTTTAGACCAAGTAAGATTCACCTGCACAAGAAGAAAAAGAATTAAAATTTCCCCAAACAGTCGATTTCACCTTAAAACTCTTATTTTTCAACTGATTGAAGAACTCAACGTTATATAATGAGGGCAAATTAAATAAAATTAGGCAGTGGAAAACCTGAGGCATTTACAGAAATACAAGTACTCTCTTCTTTAAGAGATCTTTGCAAAATTTCTTCCTTTCAAGAGGAAGCCGAATAAAATCTTTAAATGTGAACTTGTAACAATATCTTATTTTTAGAATATATTATGCTGTTCACTTTAGTTACTTAAATCAAAATGGCAATATTAAAGACAAGTGATAATTTGCAAGTGGACCCTTTCCATTTTGTTTCTAAAAGTACTACGTTAAATTCCTACAGTTACATTTTAAACTATAAGAGGTAATAAGGGAAATATTTCAGTCATTTAATGTATGACATATTTCAAAGAGTAACTTTTAGAGCTTAGAAAATAGAAGGAAAGATTCATATAAGTTGTAGTTTATAGTTTACCTACCATCTTTCCTTCTACAATTCTCATACCATTTTATAAATATTGTCAACATGGTCATTGGTTGTAATAAGGAAGGTTATCTACATACATAATTTAAAGGCACATACAAATTTAAAGAAAGTAAGGGATGACATACTATTAGAAACAGTAGGTTGGATGTATAAGAGTAGGCAAATATAATTATCAAGTTGAGGTCTGAATACTATGCAAAATTAACAAGTAGTATGAAAATTATAATATATACTTTAATATACTTATTTTAACCCATCTGAACAGCATCTATTTTCATTTAACTATAATCCCTAGATGTGACTATACTAAATGCAACTTTTAAATGGTTACTTTTACGGTATGTGAATTTCACCTCAGAATTATATCTATATAGTATATAGATAATATAATATGCAATATATATTATCACTAGATGAACTTATATATATGTGAACTATATATGAACTTGAACATATATGTTCCTAAAACCCCCTGAAGTTCATCTAATGATAATGGTTCAATCTTCTTGTACGGTACTTAGCATCACTATAGTGCCTGGACATAAACTGAAATCCTACAGACAGCCAGCCTGAAAATGCATGCCATTTGATATGATGGGATAAAAAAAATGACAAATAGAGGCATCAATTCCTTCCTATGCCAAAAATATTAAAAATTTCTCAGTGGGTAAAGTTAAACAAAATTTTGAGATCACTCTTCATCTGTTGAATGCTTAATAAAGCATGTAACAAATAAGTTTACAATACTTAAACTTCAATAAATAAATCAGTATTAGAACAAGCAATATGCCCAGATCATTAAAAAAATTTTTCGATTTCTATTTATTGTTCATTAATGCCAACAAATAATAGCTTATACATAAGTGGGAAAAAACCCTTAATCCTCAAAGAATCATAAACACAATTCAACTATCACTGTCCCATTCATTAAGGTATTTCATTATTACTATTTAATAAAATATTCTTAAAAATCTCTCATGGTAACATTTTTGAGCAATTTCAAGGGCTGGTTTCAAGAGCATAAAATTCATAATTAAGTTTCTCTAAAAAAATTATGATAATCACATTATTTCTTTTTATTTTTAATATAAAGGATCTTTAATGTTCAAAGTTAACTTAAAACATTAAATATTTATGTATTTAAATTTAATGTAAATTGTAACAACTATTCTTAATTTTAAAATATGTATTTCCTTAAAAAGGTTAAAATTTTAGTGAATTTTAGAGCACTCTACTTACGGAATTCAGAAAAAAGAAAAATTAAGTGCTAAAGTTAGTGTTACAGGCATTTATCACAAATTATTCATCATTTATTACAATTATACCTCAATTAACTATATCAAAATATACATATAAACTAAATTGGAAACGTACATCAACAAATTGTATGATAAAGTGTCTCCTTTGTCCATCAGAAAATACAGAAAGGACATATTCACCAGGTTTCCCATGACTCTCTCGCACCAAGAAGTCTCCTTGTTGTTTTAACAGATCTTGCGCTTCTATTCTGGGAATTGCACCATGGTACCAATCCTGTTCTGCCAGAGGCTTCTCAATTATGGGGATCGTATCACAGAACTTGAGCAAATATTGAAAAAAAACTAAATTAGAGAAAATAGCAATTTTTTTCTGGTAAGGCTAACAGCAATTATAAATACCTCTTACCTATGTTCTTCCCTTTAATTAACCAATTAAAAGTTATATGATAAATCTGAAATTTTCATAATTTTTAAAGAAAATATGTCCTAGAGCACTGGTGCTGAAGCTTAGTACAAATACATATCCTTAAATACTTGAAGGTTATTTGTTTTTTCTATCATACATAGGTACACAAAACATCAACATTTAGAGTTGGCACTTATAGTCTTATTCACCATGTCATAAAATAAATCCATATATTTAAAACTTTTCAATCAGAGAATTATGATGAAAAGAGAGTATGATCAGAGAAATTTATCATAAAATAACTTCATTTTAAAAGTTGAGTTATATATTTTTATGGAATTAACTCTTAATCACATGGGCTGTGGACTGTCCACGTCATGGCTCCCAGGAGCACTAAGTCTTCATTTGATGCTGCTCTGTTGCTGTGCCTTCTCATTCTTATCCTTATTCCCCTGACTTCCTTAACCATTACCTCTGCCACATGGCTGGTCCTGATCCTGTACAGCAATGGCAGACAAAGCCTTAGGTGAAATAGCTTCATTGAAACCACCAATGTTCAATTACAAACACGGCAAAAACAAGGGAGGAATATAAGTCATGAGCACAGCAGGAAAACAAATTATCTGGTATTTTAGGAGGCCAAGTGCTAATAACAAATAGAGATAACTAAGAGCTGGTTATGTTTCGTTGAAAAGTTTCTAATTAATAATAGATGAAATCACACATTTTCTGATAGCAAAAAAGTAAAAAGTTTTTTGTTTGCTTATATTTATCACCCACAGAAACTAAATTGCCCCAGGCGGTAAGAGTACTTTATGGGTAAGGTATAATAATATGCACTAACTCTTAACATTCTCAAAATATAATATGCACGATGCCTCATGAGAAAGTAATTCATTAATTGGAAAAATCAGAATTAACAATAAATGAAAGACAAATATTCGCACATCAATCAGGTTTTTCAGGTTGATATTATGAACTCTACATAGGGACAAAATACGGTTACCTTGCTGGTAAATGAGAACTAGTTTTGAAGAGAGCCTGCATTGTTTTGTACCACACAAAGAGGCTTAAAACTTACTGGTCAAAGTTCCATTTTATATTATCCAAAACCCATCCGACTGATTTAAAAAAAGAACCTTGGGCTTCCCTGGTAGCGCAGTGGTTGAGAGTCCGCCTGCCGATGCAGGGGACACGGGTTCGTGCCCCGGTCCGGGAAGATCCCACATGCCGCGGAGCGGCTGGGCCCATGAGCCATGGCCGCTGAGCCTGCGAATCCGGAGCCTGTGCTCCGCAATGGGAGAGGCTACAACAGTGAGAGGCCCGCGTACCGCAAAAAAAAAAAAAAAAAAAAAAAGAACCTTGAGAAATCCCAATCAGACATTTTCAAAGAGTCCACAGTTTGGTTTCTACTTCTACCACTATGATATTCTTTAATTCTTTAATTGCATACATGATGTGACTGTACATGGAAATCATTTATAAGCTAAATAAGCCTTTTTCTTTTAGTACTAATTATGATAAATACTATATTTCAAAGAAATTTTAAATTGTGTTCCCAAAAATGGGATTAAAAAGTAAATTATATAAAGAACTAGCCACAACTATGAGATTAAAAATGTATTATTTTTAAAAACAAATGCATAATCCATACAAAATTAACTTTTTGTGTATACTGATACTAATAGTTTATAATTCTTAAAGTAGGTGGTCAAAATGATTAAATATTTCTTCAAAATTTTGTCACAGCGCATTTCAATACAGAAAATACTAAAATTTTTACTGTTATACAAATATTTCCAAGTCTCACCAATGGCAAAGTGTTTTATTGCTTTTTTCCAGAGGAAAAAAAAAATCAATAAAATAAGAAATTCAATGTCACCTCTTGGCAAAAAACTTTTTTATTATTATCTCTCAAAAAAGGATTACATAATAGAAAAGCATCACAAACAAGGATATCATATGCTTGATTTCTTGTCCTAATCAACATATCCTCCCAAATTTTGCTTTATTTAGAATTGTGAGAATGAAGAGCCTGGAGAATTCATTAAGTCAGAAGGGCATTTGAAATACAAAAGGTGAGCTAACATTGAGAAATTCATTTAAGGATTTGAAGGTGAGGAATACATTTGGGGGAAAAAATTTATGTTTGTTTCTTTGTTTAAAAAAGAGGAGTAAATAGGAAGGAACTTATATTGCTATTTCATAGGGATTACACGTCAGTCCTCTGGGTTTATTAGTTTCTTTTGGGTAGGAAGGGAAACTTATAGAGATCTTCTGTTCCTGGCTCCTAGACAATACTGCTACGAAATGTAAGGTGAACTCACTATGAGTGTGTATGTACATGTGTGACAGGCATACACAGGGAAAGGTTGTACTTATCCTATGCCTGGTTCTATCAGGTCTTTCAGGGACTTCCCTGGAAACATTGGAAGGAACGTTTTAATTACTATGATTTCAATTATATTCCAATACAATTTTGCAAACTTGACAGTGATAGAAGCTGGATGTACCAGCAACAAAATCCCAGCATCCCAAAAGCCTTTATAATTACGTCAAAAATGAAATGAAGCTTTTTACTTCAAATATCACAGCTTTCTAAGCCTAAGTGGGGAAAGATTTTTCCTTGTCATTAAGTTATCTAAAATTTTTGCCAAAGATATGGGGAAGGGGAAGTCTCCTTTTTAAAATGTATAGTAATCCAATACAGTTAACAAGTTATACTTAATAAGACAAGCTTTTCTGATTGACTAGGCTAGCTGTTTAGTTAGTTATTTTCCCTGGGCCTTATTCTTAAAGAATATTCCAGCAAAAACATACTGAGCTTAGTGAAATAAAAAGATTGGTTTAAATGAAAATGCAATGAGGAGTCAGCACAAGAAAATGAAAATATTTTTTTCTTGACTTAAGAATAAGAGGCTATTTTTGTTCTTAGCCTAGTTCAGGCTAATTCCCAAGAATTCAATGAAGATTTGTATGCTTTTATCTCAAACATTTGAGCACAAGATGAGATCCTTTTTGAGAAGCAAAGACAAAAGTGTTTAAAAACAAAAATCAAAGTCTGAATCTTATTCAAATTAAGCACCCAAATACGAAACCATTAAAAAAAAAAAAACTAAAATATAACAGCATAGAAAATATATAAGTAAACCTCTCAATGACCTTCAACAAGCTAAATAAAACTTCAACATTAACATAAAAGTTTTTATGAATTTTTAATAACCTTAAAAGTGAATGTAATTCTTTAATATTCTTATATAAATTTAGTTATTAATTTAATAATCTAAGTAATGAATTATTTCAGATCTAGTATAATAATATACTATGGTGACTACAAGTAACTCACAGGATTTTAAACATTTCTCAAAAATTCCATAATGACTCCTTTAATTTTAAAGCTATATATCACTGGGAAATTTTACGGGGAGATTAAGAATCAAATGTCATATAATCAAAAGAAAGAGAAGCACCAAATACTTGCAAAGGGTGGGAAATATCGGCCTACTGAAAAGGAATCTGCCTGATGGTACTAAAAGCTACTTTCACTGAAAGGGCAATGTAACCATAGGTAGGAAAAATGTATTTTATACCAATTAGAGTTTGATAGTTGAACAAATGCATAACATAAAATGAAAACATGAAAAATAATGCTCTTCCTGCCACATTTTTGCAAATTTCTAAACAGTTATGTTTTGAATGCACTGAATGAGTTAATTATTAAAATAATGGAAAACAAAGATTATGTGGGATATTTGATCTTCATGATTGTTTGCCTTCATCTAGACAAACAGGATGTAAAACAATGGTTCCATCGTTAACAGGCACTAAGGCCTATCTGTAAATTGACAAGTTCTGTTTTATTTTCAGCAATAAAGTAGAACTAACTGATCATTGTTTTCATACACTGATAGCTTATTTTTATTATAAATATACTTTACCTAATGTTCACTTTTCACTATGAAGCAACAAAATTCTTATGCGCAAATTTCTTAATTAACAATTTTTTGTACTTTTTGAAAATTTGAGTTTGTTCAGTCTTTAGCTAATAATATAACTATGGTCTATCATAATAACTAGGCAGAATTACATGCTGAACAAATTCACATTCTTATACAATTCTTCCCAAAACTTTATTTAAAAAGATACACACCTAGGCCAAACTCGAATATTACCTTACTTCCACTGCTTTCTATTTCCCTGATTGCCTATTTTTTTTTAATAACATCTTTATTGGAGTAGAATTGCTTTACAATAGTGTGTTAGTTTCTGCTTTATAACAAAGTGAATCAGCTATACATCTACATATACATATATCCCCATATCTCCTCCCTCTTGCATCTCCCTCCCACCCTCCCTATCCCACCCCTCTAGGTGGTCACAAAGCACCGAGCTGATCTCCCCGTGCTATGCGGCTGCTTCCCACTAGCTAGCTATTTTACATTTGAAAGTATATATAAGCCCATGACACTCGCTCACTTTGTCCCAGCTTACCGTTCCCCCTACCCAGTCCACAAGGCCATTCTTTACGTCTGCATCTTTATTCCTGTCCTCCCCTTAGGTTCTTCAGAAACATTGTTTTCTTTTAGATTCCACATATATGTGTTAGCATATGGTATTTGTTTTTCTCTTTCTGACTTACTTCACTCTGTATGACAGACTCTAGGTCCATCCACCTCACTACAAATAACTCAATTTCGTTTCTTTTTATAGCTGAGTAATATTCCATTGTATATATGTGCCACATCTTCTTTATCCATTCATCTGTCGATGGACACTTAGGTTGCTTCCATGTCCTGGCTATTGTAATAGAGCTGCAATGAACATTGCAGTACATGATGACTCTTTTTGAATTACAGTTTTCTCAGGGTATATGCCCAGTAATGGGATTACTGGGTCAGATGGTAATTCTATTT